TTTTTGTATTTTTAGTAGACACAGGGTTTCACCACGTTGGCCAGGCTGGTCTCAAACTCCTGACCTCCAGTGATCCACCCGCTTTGGCCTCCCAAAGTGCTGGGATTCCAGGCGTGAGCCACTGCGCCCAGCCAAGCCGTGCTCTGTTCTAATCCCAGCGCCTGTGAAAGCCTTCTGGAAGTTCACAGAAACAACGGCCCCAATATGATGGCCCCCATTCCCGTGCTCCCCGAGTTCTGGGGACCCGTAGTGAGGAGCGATCGTTTTCCTCACTCACCTAGATGTGACGTGAAGAACCTGATCAAAGGAGTTTGCCGTCACCAACTTGCACCTGGTCAGGCCCCTGCCCTGTGGAAACTGCCCCGACTCAAGCCTCATGCCTCAGTTTACCCAGCTAACTCAGATCTCCGGCCACCCTCCTCGGGCTGGGTTAGGCTCCTCCCTGTCATGCCATCTGGGTCTCTCCCGTGTGACACTTTAATAAGGCCAAGCGCGTGGGTGACGGCTGCCTGATCATCTTCCCGTCCCGGGGCACAGCCAGGGGCTATGTACCCTGGAAACTCCTCAGCTTTTTATGCTGATAAGGGAAGGAGGAAGAGGGGGGCCCCTCGAGGGACAGGCGACGGGGTTTGGTGGGGATGCGGCTCACCAGTTTGTACTTGGTGTTCCCGTCTGATGTGTAACCGCTCTCGTAGAAGGTGGCCTGGAACCCCAGGGAGTGGGGGTTGCTCACCATCACCTGGGAGTGGGAGCAGAGAAGCTCAGGCTGTACGGAGCCAGCAAGCAGGATGGGGCGACAAACCCCCGCAGTGTCCCCAACACACCTTCAGATGAAAAACCAGGACCGGGCACAGTGGCTAATGCCTGTAATCCCAGCACTTTGGGAGACCAAGGTGGGAAGACCGCTTGAGCCCAGGAGTTCAAGACCAGCCTAGGCAACACAGCGAGATCCCGTCTCTACAAAAAAAAAAAAAAAAAAAAGTTGGCCAGGCGCGGTGGCTCACGCCTGTACTTCCAGCACTTTGGGAGGCCGAGGCAGGTGGATCACCTGAGGTCGGGAGTTTGAGACCAGCCTGACCAACACGGAGAAACCCCATCTCTACTAAAAGTACAAAATTAGCCGGGCATAGTGGCACATGCCTGTAATCCCAGCTACTAGGGAGCCCGAGGCAAGAGAATCCCTTGAACCTGGGAGGCGGAGGTTGCGGTGAGCTGAGATCACACCATTGTACTCCAGCCTGGGTAACAAGAGCGAAACTCTGTCTCAAAAAAAGAAGTTGAAAATGCATTTATTTATTTATCTATTTATTATTTTATTTATTTATTTATTTATTTATTTTTGAGATGGAGTCACTCTGTTACCCAGGCTGGAGTGCAGTCATGCAAACTCGGCTCACTGAAACCTCTGCCTCGCAGGTTCCAGTGATTCTTCTACCTCAGCCTCCCAAGTAGTTGAGATTACAGGCATGCGCCAACACACCCAGCTAATTTTTGTATTTTTAGTAGAGACGGGGTTTCACCATGTTGGCCAGGCTGGTCTCGAACTCCTGACCTCAGATGATATACCTGTGTCAGCCTCCTAAAGTGCTGGGATTACAGGCATGAGCCACCGCACCCGGCCTATTTATTTATTTTTATTTTTTTTGGAGGCAGAGTCTCACTCTGTCACCCAGGCTGCAGTGCAGTGGTCCGATCTCGGCTCACAGCAACCTCTGCCTCCTGGGTTCGAGCGATTCTCATGGATTAGCCTCCCGAATAGCTGGGATTACAAGCACGCTACCACACCCAGCTAAATTTTGTATTTTTAGTAGAGATGAGGTTTTACCATGTTGCACAGGCTGGTCTCAAACTCCCGAGCTTAGGCAATCCTCCCACCTCGGCCTCCCAAAGTGCTGGGATTACAGGTGTGAGCCACCATGCCCGGCCTGAAAATGCATTTAATAGACCTAACCTACCAAACATTGGAAGTTAACCCAGACTACTTTAAGTCGAGAACAAACCAAGCAATACTAAAAGGAGAACAAAACCTGCTCGCCCTCGCCCTTCCACCCCCTGGATCACGACGTTGACATTTCAGGGGTCCAGCCTTCCTGAATGTTTGTAGAAATAGGTAACACATTTGGATGAATTTACCCACCTTTAACTGTACAATTCAATGGCATTCGGTAGAGTAACAATATTGTGCAACCATCACCATCATCTGTTTCCAAAACTTTCTCGTCACCCCAAACAGAAACTCTGTCCTCATGAAGCAATAATTTACCTCCTTTTATTTTTTTAAAATTTATATTTATTTATTTTTATTTATTTTTTTGAGACGGACTCTCACTCTGTCGCCTAGGCTAGAGTGGAGAAGCGTGGTCTCAGCTCACTGCAACCTTCACCTCCCAGATTCAAGTGATTCTCCTGCCTTAGCCTTCTGAGTAGCTGGGACTACAGGTGCCCGCCGTCACACCCGGCTGTTGGCCAGGCTGGTCTTGAACTCCTGGCCTCAGGCAATCTGCCCGCCTTGGCCTTCCAAAGTGCTGGGATTACAGGTGTGAGCCACCACACCTGGACAAATTTTTTATTTTTTAAGAGATGAGGTCTTGCTCTCTTACCCAGGCTGGAGTGCAATGGCATGATTATAGCTCACTGCAGCCTCAGCCTCCTGGGCTCAAGTGATCCTCCTGCCTCAGCCTCCCAAGTAGCTGAGACTACAGGTACATGCCACTACACCTGGCTAATTTTTATTTATTTATATTTATTTATTTATTTATTTATTTATTTATT